GACTTAAGTCACAACATCCGGCCATTCCGAAAAAAACGCTACCACTGAGGGGATCCCCTCGAGGAGAAGTCGCCAGCTAAGAGTTTCACTGTACAAAAGTAAAAGAACTCTCTCCCATTCCCAATACCTTCCTCGCTTCTGCTCATATGAGGGCCCTTCGCTTGTGGCCCCTTACGGCCGGCGGGAGAAGGCAAACATGGAGGCGCTCATGGGGGTGGGCGTTCTACGTATACCTTTATTACGAAATGTAAACATATGGTGGCTATGCCGTTAGGCATCAAACGTGTCCCCGTCTGCGCGGGGTCGACTTAATTTTTTCTCTCTGTCTATGTTTGAGGGGAAAGGGGGGGGGGCGTCTTTTTTTTAACAAGGTGGTTTTCACTAGGAATTTCCATGTACAGAGTATTACATATTACGTGTATTACGTGGTATGACGCTGGCATTACACAAGCTTTGCAACTAAAATTCTGCTATTTTCGGGCATATTTTTTTATTTTCGGTATCACATTACGCGTAATATTTAGTTTAGGTGTGCAGTGTATTACGCAAGTGAAAACTCGTCGGTTTTTGAACTGCAATACCGTCCGCCACGGGCCTGTCTGCTCAAACATACGTGTACTAAGACATTTTAGAGGTAAAGTACCTCTAAAATGTCTTATATTCTCGTTTGGTTGGGCTTGGCCAGGCTCGATTGGAAGTGTGTCACACGAGCTGCATTCCAAAGTGTGTTTGACACATTCACACGCGCAGTCCATGGCTTTCGGTGAACCGCGCTTACTGGCTCGCTACGTGAGTTTAGAACCCCTGCCCCACCAGTATCCTCCATGCGTTCGTTCGAAAGCGCATTAGAAAGATATCCACTTAGCGCGACTTTCGACCATCCCAGTACCGCAATTAAGTCTACACTGTGAAGAATATCGTCGTAAATTTACAAACAAATTGTGAACTCGAATTTTAATTTAAGTTGTAAATTTACGACAGCACATTTTTTTACTCGCCAATGGATTTGAAGTCGATGCATACTGCATGTATTTTTACGATTACAAATTGTTATTTTACAACTTGCGTCAAGGAAAATTTTCCTGTAAACCTACCTACTTTTTTCACAGTGTAGCCTATATGTCGAGGATTTTTAGAGGTGAAGTACCTCTAAAAAATATTAAAGAATGGTGTCACCACGAACTGGGGGAACGAGAACGCGAGCAGGAGTGCGTTAGACAAATGTCTCAGCAGAGGCAATAACAATGCCCATGAGGCTGCTCTGTATTTGCGTTGTAGATTTAGATTGTGGGCCACTGAGCACAAATTCTTAGGTTGCGAGCACAAACTAACTGTTCCCGACGAGTTGTGTCATGATGTCACTAAAGCAGTGCAGTCTAAATCTACAACACTGAGAGTGGTCTTTGTGTCGAGAGAGCACAGGTCAGCATGTGATGCGGTCCGGCTGCCCTCCTCCCAGGCATCCTCTCCAGAGCCATGCATAGGCAGCCACGGTTCCCTAAGGTAGGCAAACAGGCCAGTCGTCGTAGTGATGCTGCACGGCACGCAGGCGTGCGAGCAGATTGCCTACCCGCAAGACCCGTAAGGTAATTTTATTTAGAGGTACTTCACCTCTAAAAATCCTCGATATATAGACTTGCAGTACTGGGATAGTCACAAGTCGCGCTAAGTGGATATCTAGGCAACCCGCTCGCACGCCTCCATGCCGTGCAGCATCACTACGACGACTGGCCTGTTTGGCTACCCCAGGGAACCGTGGCGCCTTACGGGCACTGTCTCCCTACGGATGAAGGAATGTCTGTAATATGGATCAAATTGTCTGTAATACGGACAATTTAATCCATATTATGGATAATTTGTGATCCATAATATGTTAGCACAAAATTCTCCGTAAGCGTGTCCATAAGGAAATGAGAGTGCATGTATGTCGGACCTATGACTTACATGTCCACATACATGTCCCCGACGCGTTCGTGTGGGCGACTTGTATATCACATGTATGTGCCGGATGTTTCCCAGAACACATAGATGTGCGACACACTTGTATGTGAGTGCACATATACATGTCACATGTATGTCGGACCTACGACTTCAACCACCACATACATGTCCCCGACGCGTTCGTGTGGGCGACTTGTATATCACATGTATGTGCCGGATGTTTCCCAGAACACATAGATGTGCGACACACTTGTATGTGAGTGCACATATACATGTCACATGTATGTCGGACCTACGACTTCAACCACCACATACATGTCCCCGACGCGTTCGTATGGGCGACTTGTATGTCACATGTATGTCACATATGTTAAGGGTTTTACGGGTTACCAGTGTAACATGAATTTTATTTGCATGTAAAATACGCTTTCTGAGGAAAAATTCATTAGAGGTACTTTGCTTAGAGGTACAATCCATTAGAGGTACTTTGCTTTAGAGGTAAATATCCTTAGAGGTAATTTGCTTAGAGGTAAAAATCTTTAGAGGTAATGTGCTTAGAGGTGCTGAACTCAACTCCTCCAGTCGTACTGTGGCCTCCGAAGCGAATCCAGTCCGACCTGACCGTCACCTGCCGCCTGTGGACGAGGTCTTCATAAACCGTCCGCTGGCGAGTGACATTATTTGGTGCTTCTGCGAGGAGTAGCGTAGGGTGGCGGTCTTTCATTGCGACTTTTTCCAACTGTAAGGAGGCGCTCGATGTGTCACCTCGGAGGCACGTGGGGGTGGGGCGTTACGTTATGAGTAGAAAAGACGTCCAGGTTACCAGGAAGCCAAGTGAATCTTATGGGGCGAAAACATATAGGAAGAACGTGTTTGGTTTTTTTTCAAAACTGCTTAAAAACCTGTTATTTCGAATTTCGGTGGATTTGACAACATTCCGGCGGATTTCACATGACATTTCAGTAGATTTCAGGAAAAAGCACACTGGCAGAATACGTATTACTTTATGATTGCATGTCAGAGGAATTGGGAAGGATTTCAGGTTTCAGGAGTGGTGCACCACCGGACCGGTGGCCCCATCGGGTGCGGTTCGGCTTCGCTTCAAGAGGTCTTATTCGTGAACGGTGTGAAGCGGCGGCGTGTGTGAGGAACGGTGACAGTGATGAGCCTCGTTTGCCTCGTCCCGCAGTACATGAATAAGGCTCTGAATGGGCGTCCCGAAGCGGGGTGCCGGCGATGGCAAGTGGAAGCAGAATGCAGAAGTTCCACCCAACCGTCAAGGAATTGATTCCAAGAAAATCTGATTCCTCAAAAAGCACCTCTAGGAGGGCCGTACTAATCCCGAAAATGGCATAAATATAGTTCCGCACTTTATTATGGGACTCGTTACGAAGCATGTACAAATTAGGTGGGGCTAGCGTGATGCTGCCCCCCCCCCCCCCCCCCCCCGCCTAATTGTGGATTTACTTTCAACCGAGTACATATTACGAACTAATTCCGAATTCAGTACAGTTTGAACATACTAATTGCGTCCCAAATCATGGTGCTCTCGGTTGAATAGCACAGCATTGGGTGGGGCTAGCTTTAACGGAGGTGAGCTGACCCGCTTCAGCGCCTGCGAACCTAGACACCGGCCTCGCCGAGCCCGCCTGGCAGAGCTGCGCGCGGGTCGCCTACCCCGGGTCCCGCAGGCGGCTGGGAGCTGCAGAGAGCTGCTGAGAGCTGCTGGGACCTGTGGGAGCTGCTGGGTGCGGGCCAACCAATACTCACGTGAAGAGAGGGGCCGGGCATCATGAGGTTGGAGACGAACACGGGTCTGTCGGTGCCTCCCGCCGTGATGCAGCCGGGGTTGTCGCAGTGGCTCCGCGTCCTGGGGCAGTCGCCGCAGTGCATGCTGAGCGTGGAGTACATGGCCAGGGTCATGTTGTAGTGGCAGTCCATGGCGGTGCCGTTGCATCGCCGGTAGCATGGGTGCGCGGCGCCCCCTGCACAGGTCGTCCAAGGAGCGTCATACGGAGCGGCGGCCTCCCAGCCAGAGAAATACGATGGTAGGCTTACCGACATTCACGCCAAAGTCTACGTTCCTCTCCATCTCCTGAATCAAAGAAAGGGACAGCAATTAGAGTCCTACACCTCCAGCGGGCTGTGCACGTGCGCGCTTTTATGACCCTGCCCCCCCCCCTTCCGGTCGACACAAATCGCCCCCTGGGGTAGGCAATTTGTCCCCCCCCCAAAAAAAAACCCGCACAGTTGGAATGTGAGCGCGTGGGCGGATACGAGAGCTTAATCCGTCGATCGGCACACACACTACGGATTTAGGGAAAACAATCCTCTTACGTCGCAATCGGTGCGCCTCTGATCGTTTTATGGCACCATCTCGCGAGACAAGCGGCCATTTAGCGACCGATAAACGACAATAAAATAAACTACTGCTCACTGCTCCTACCGAGCCTCTACTCTTACTTCTGGCATTCAAAGCCAAACATTCGCAGCATGTGATACCAAGAACACCAAAAACCTTTCTCGGACTCTCCCCACAATCTAACTAAGAATAAGGGTGTCCCCACTCTGGGTGTTTCGCGTCGGTGAGGGAATGTTCGAATGGCCAAATGCCTGACGCCCGGCAGCCTAATCCACTCTGCTGTTTGTTTGACAGATTGGCCTAGCCTTTCAAGCGCTTACACGCGCTTCCATTACCGAGGTTCACTGAAGTTGAAGTTGAACTGAAGTTGAAGACCACGGGGGCCGCTTATAGGAAGTTATAGTAAGAATGAAATCAAAACTGCCGCCCATGGATTGATTACATACCAGCATCCTCAACTTCCTGCTTCCCTCTGCATGGCCGTACGGTTCCAAGAACACGAGGACAAACAGGAACACTGCTTCCGTGAGAGCTCGCATGGTGCCAGCTGCGGCTGAACTCCTAGTTGTATGAGCTCTGCCAGGCACACAGCCCTAAAAACGACTTGATGGCAACTGAATACCTCACAAGTGAACACATCTCGGCCCGTGGCCGTGACTGCCGCCATGCCCCATCAATTAAGAAGTACACTATCTACCCTGGGCGATTAAAGGATTTCTTTATCGAATTAAGGGACATAATCGATTTCTATTTTGCCTGCTATTAGTGCCCGGGGATGGGGCGGTACACGCTGCACCGATGTGTTCAGAGGAGGCTAAAGTCTCGACTGCGGAGCGCGCGGGGTGGATTCTCAGGCAGCAGCGGTATACGCCGCCTGGACAATAGGCAATTTGTGCTTCAAACCCCTCTATGTAGGCGTAGGCAGCGGGTGGGAGGGGCAGGAAGGGGACGGGAGGGAGCCAGAGGAAATGCCGGCCCGGTAACACGAGATATCTCTCACCTCTGTGGGACACTGATCATAGTCAGTAATATGATGGTGGAGATTTTTCGCAACGGAATAAAATTTGTGATGAACGGAACAGTCCCGGCAGCCGCACTGTAAATTGAAACGGAGACTTTGGCCCCCTTTAAAAGGATGTACAAAATGTCTCCTTGTATAGGGGTCGCCGCCTCCCGGAGTCACCCTGAACGTATCGTCGAAAACGTCCCGCTACGGGGAGACTTTTGTGTCCCTTTCCCGGGTGACTACGCGTCACCACGGGTAGGCGACTTATGTTGCCCGGGCGAGGTGAGGGAACGCACCACGCAAAGGGCGACTTTTATCTCCCTTTCCCGGGTGACTACGCGTCACCACGGGAAGGGCGACTTTTATCTTCATGCAATGGCGAGGAAGCTTACTCCGCGCACGGGCGCTTTCGTTCCCTAGGCAAGGGCAACATTTCTTACCCTTTTTAGAGAAAAATAAAAAAAAATCATATCGGTTATTCTAGTTTTATCTCTCGTGTGTTGTCGCGCTTAACCCTTGGTCGCTGTCGTCACAATACTTGTAGGCTGTCATCATGGTGGGTTGGGTTACTACATAGCCGCGAGACACGCATTTTGCTGGAAATGCCGGGAACCGAACCCCGGCCGTGCCAACTCAGCGCTCACGCTTCGTTCGTAACTTACTGAGCCATGGAGCCCTGATGCGGGTCCTTGTGCAGGCAGCTCATCACACTCCTCTGTCAGCCTGTCTCCCCGGCACTGCCTGCCGCCTCGTCGCCCCCATCTCCCCCCCCCCTTTCCCCCGTCCCACTCCTCTCCCGGCGGGCGGGTAGACGGGGACAGCACTAAGAGGACGGAGCAGGTAGGAGCATCCGAAACAGTGTGACTGACCTCCAAGGTATGACTGCATGTTGATGCGCTGGCGACTGGGGAGGGGAAGGGAGACCGGGGGGGGGGGGGGGGGGGAGGTACACAGCCAGGAGTTTCGTCCGACCATAAAGCGGCAAGTACGGTTTATAAGTTCCCGATTTTGGCACTTTGATTTTGGCATGCGAGTCGTCCCCACCACTCCGGACGGCGAGCGACGGCTCAGCTGCACCCTGCAAATGGTATCCTTAAACCAAGGAAAATTCTTTTTAAAAGATACAAGGATATTTTTTACCTTGGCCCAAGGAATTTCAATTGTTTTCAAGAAAATAGTTCCAATCTAAAGAAAATTTTACTTTATTTTAACGCTATTATCCTTAGGTCTCGCTTTACGTTAGAGACAAGTTTCCTTGTATTTTTTCAACGTAAAAATAGCGTTTCGCATTTCGCTTTGCAAGGTGACCATTTTCTGGATGGGTGACAGGTGACGAGACGCTCCGGCGCGGCGGCCGGCGGGCAGGGGATAAGTGATCGGTCGGGGGATGATTAATCCAGCGTTCGACAGTTTTGTTCGAAAAGTGATAGTTCAAAAAACGTTCATTATTAGACAGTCCCCAATTACTGGCTTTATCGGAGGGCAAAGTGCCCCCCCCCCCACCTCTCCATCTCCTATACAGCCACAGGGACTCGGTGTATTGTGGCGGTGGTCTTGGATAAGCCAGGGGCACGCCACTGAAGCCTATGGTGCTGTCCAAACAGGCGTAAATGCACAGCTCTATATGCTTCGGTCGCAGTTTGACGACTCATTTACCCCACGACCTCGTAAAAAGTAGTCCAGCGTCGCATTCCTGCATGATGCGCCCCACGCCGCTAGGCCACGCTCGACGCCGCGTTCAACACCGCCACGTTCAACGCCGCTGCGCTCATTGTTAACATGATTTTAGTTGTTGGTATTGAACATGTGAGAGGGGTCGGGGGGTGTGTACCTGTACGAAGGCCTTAGATGATGCGGAGGCACTCACCGCTCACAGCGGCAGTGGTCCAGAAGGTATGATAAGATGAGGTGAACAAGACGCATGATAATGGGAACATTATGTCTCCGAAAAGGCGGACATTTGTTCTCTATTACAAGGCAAGGCCAGAAGGAAACTTATGTCGCCGAAAAGCCGGACATTTGTTCTCTATTACAAGGCAACGCCAGAAGGAAACTTATGTCCCGTCGGATGGGACAGCATACGTTTCCCTGTAGGCTGGCGATAAAAGTCGCCTTTGCGTGTTTACGGCTGCAACAGGTCACAAATGGTACCCCGGGCAAAGGAGACTTTCCGCTAACGGAGACTTAAGTGGCCAATAGGAAAGGAGACTTTGCTTGTCTCCCTTCCTCGGGAGACAACGGCCAAAAAGTCGCCGTTTGTAAAAGGAGACAAGTGCAGAAGTCTCCGTTTCAATTTACAGTGCGGCAGGTTGGCTCCCAAAATGGACGTCCTCCGAGGTGACGCGAGCCGCCGAGCTCCTGTCTGACTGGGGCGCTGTTTTGGTGGCCTACTTTTGGGTTCTGTTAGGATAATAACTGTGCTAGATGGTTTCGGTAGTCTTACTGTATTATCGCCTGTTGTTATTATAATTGGACCTCCACACTCCTTGTCGGGCTGGCAACTGACGAGCGGAGACGCGAGCCGGGCCCTTCCCGGGGCCGCAGGCGCTCCGCGGGACGATCCGCGAGGCTATCGCTGGAGAGCTAGATCGCACGCATCGGCGTTTATCTGGTCACCGCTGTCCTGGTCGCGCTCCACGCGAATATTTGAAAGCCCCTCTATATTGCTATAACAGCCCTTGGGCGCTCTTGGGCGCTCAGGGCGGGCCACCGTCTCCACACAGCTGCTTGGCGGGACAACCTACCCAACGCGTCGCAGGCGCTATCATCAGCAAAAGCCAGCATCGGCTGAAAACGTGCAGTTTGTAGGATACTGCACGAACGCGATTGTGATGGCATTTTACAGTGGCTTTTGTAAATCACAGGCCGGAATGGAACGACGCTTTTCCATTCCACGCGGGAAGCAAATGAAGTCTTACGGAGAGGAACGAAGGGTCAGCCAAAGTGTAGTCCGCACGGAACGTACGGAACGCGTACTTTCATCCCACCCCATGCCTTGCCATGCATGATACAGTACGATTTACTCTTACTTTTCCGTTAAGTGGAAGAATCCAATGAAAAAAGGACATAAGCTGAGAGGGCGAAGTAAATGCGCCCAATTTAGACAATCCCCCCCCCCCCCAATTTTGGCCATTTTGTACAACCCAACGCAGTCCTCCCCGGTGCCAGGCCTTCATTTTCATTCCGTGCTTTCCTGCCTCGTGTCTCTGCTTTGCAGTTGTTGATGAACGTTCCGTGGCGGTCTGGGAATTTTAATTTTAGCGAGAAGTTAGTTTATTTGATTGTTCAGTCAGTGTTATTAATTGTCACATCCATCCCGAAAGTCAAGTAAATTGCACGAATATGGGGGACCAAAATTTGATTGACAAGTCTATGAGATCGGTGTTTGGTAAGTTATAGTTAACCTCAAAAATGAGTGATCATTTGTCGGCTTTATTTATTTTCTGTCGTTAACATGTCATCTATACAATTTTTTCTCATAATTTGTATTTTAGTTGGGAATATTCCGTACGAGGCAACTGAAGAGAAGTTAAAAGATATCTTCAGTGAAGTTGGTCCAGTATTATCATTCAAGTATGTGTATGACAGTTCTGGAATGCGACTAAAAAATTAATCAGACTTGGAATTTTTGCAACTCAATGGAACGTTTTATCATGGTCATTTGAATTGCAGATTAGTGTTTGATCGAGAGACTGGTAAGCCAAAGGGCTACGGGTTCTGTGAATACAAGGATACGGAAACTGCTTTGAGTGCCATGAGAAATCTTAATGGTTACGAAATAGGAGGTCGTACTTTGCGAGTTGATAATGCATGTACCGAGAAATCAAGACTTGAGATGCAAAGTAAGCCCAGCTTGATCTGCACCTTTATGTCACTTGTTCTGCATCTATTGCCAAGTTAAACTAGCAAACCTTCAAAATTAATGTACACTTTCCAGCACTTCTTCAGTCAACACCTGTGGAAAGCCCTTACGGAGAACCAATCAATTCTGATAAAGCTCCAGATGCAATTTGCAAAACCATTGCTTCAATGCCTCCAGAACAAATGTTTGAGTTAATGAAACAGATGAAAGAATGTATTCAGGTTGGTTAGCTTTCATAATTTTTCTCCCCCATTTCTGTATTTTTAATTTTGAACTTCTTTTAACTATTGCCTGTAAATTTCAGAATAATCCCAATGAAGCCCGCTCAATGCTTTTGCAAAACCCTCAGCTATCCTATGCTATACTTCAAGGATTAGTTGTAATGAGAGTTGTTGATCCATCTGTAGCAGTGGTAAGTCTTCGACAACTTTTAAACTTTAGGATAAAGAAGTTTCTTATCTACATTTCTGTATTATTCCAGAGTATGCTGCATAAGGCCAATCCAACTCCAGTGCCACTTTATCCATCAGACAAACCAATGACAGTGCCATTATCCACTCCTGCATCTGCACCAACTGTGGGCACTGGCAGTTCTGTTCCAGCAGCTCCTCAACCAGTCATTCTTCCCACCGAGAACTGGGTTGGCACACTGCCACCCTCTGCGCCACTTCCAACTTCAGCACCAAGACCTGCAGCCCCATCTGGTTTCATGGGTAATTTTGATTTACATCCTCACCAACAGTGGTAAAAATTGTATTGGTTGTTGTACAGACACACTCTATAAAATTCTAGGTATTCAAGATATGGATATGCGTCAACCTGTTGACCCTCGCATGGGCCGCATTCCTGATCAGGACCTTCGTATCCCTCCATCAGCTCAGGCAGTTCCAGGGATGCCTGTTCACCCTTCTCTTGGAAGGGATAGTTTCCCTGCTGATCCGTAAGTTAGTTTGCATCTTTATTTTCCAATTAAATCTTTACTTGAATCTGATAAGTGTCATCTTATTTTCTAAATAGGTATTCAGCCTCTCGTGATCCTCGTGATCCTCGCATGGGCGTGGGAGGAGATCGATTCCCGTCACGTGATCCACGGGACTCACGAGATCCTAGGGATATTCGTGACATAAGGGACCCAAGAGAAATAAGGGATCCAAGAGATCCGAGAGATATGAGAGATCCAAGAGATCAGCGTGACTCACGTGATCCCAGAGATTCAAGGGATCCTAGGGATTCAAGAGATCCGAGAGATCCCAGAGATCGAGTTGATCCAAGAACTGGTATGCAAAGTTTTATTTTCTTACATTTTTTTTTTACCTAGTCTTATTATTATCTTTAGTAATTTGTTTTAATTATTTGAAGGAGTCAACCCTCTTCAACCCAACATCAGACCACCTGTACTTGGAGGTCCTCCATTGCCAGTGCCTAGACCAGTTGCTCCTCCTCTACTCGGCCCTGGTCCTCTGCTTGGAGCTCCAGGAGCATCTGATCAAGAGAAGGTATTACAAAGAATTACATATGTTGTCTTAATTTTGCGTTTAGATACTTCAGAAGTCTTCATTCTTATAGCAATTTTTTTTTCCAAAATCAGGCTGCACTTATAATGCAGGTTTTGCAGTTAAGTGATGAGCAGATTGCTATTCTTCCTCCCGATCAACGGCAAAGTATACTCTTACTTAAGGAGCAGATTGCCAAAAGTGCACAGCGTTAATTATGTCTTTGCACCCATTTTTTTTTTTTTAAACTATAAGGATCAGATAAATCTGAGCACCATATTTGTGAAGATTTTCACTTCACACTTGTTTGAATGTAAAGTTTTCACATCGTGCGCCTGAATAAAATCCTCATCTACTTTGATTTTGGATTATGTTTATTTTCATTCTTGATTAACATTCAATGGCAAATGAAACAACAGCAAAGCCGTAGAGAAGTCCAAACAAGTATGTTAGCTACACACTGCTAAAGAGAGAAACTGACAAAGCTCACTTGCATTCAAAACCAATTGAAGTTATAATTTGAATTGGTTTTATGAGGGTACTCAAAAAATGATGAACGCCCATAATCCAAAATAAGAGTCAAATATAAGATAATGCACATGTTTACATAAAGTGCCAACTCAAAAGAATTTACTTCAAAAATCAAATGAATTTGTATTGTGGACAGAAAAATATTTGTTTCTCAACTTCCATACAAGTACAAAAAGAAGTACATAACATTTTATTAGCATCTATCTGGTATTGTTTCAACTCAAATAGAAAAATAACTTAATACTATTCACCCATATCACAGAAAAATGCCCGCAGTTCCAATTCACCCAACATACAATGATTTAAAAGTACACTTTCATAGCAGTATCACAGTTAACGTCCAAGAAACAAAATGACTGAGGCTAAAACAAAAATCAATTGTTAAAACCCTAATATAAAAGTTTGAATGGACCGATAAGGCATGAGCAATTACACAGCAATGTAAGAGAGAAAGAGAGAGAATCACAACTGACGAAGAGTTTAAAAACAAAGATTGGCAGTCATATGAAAGTTCTAGGTAGGTAGTACCTTGCTCCCAAGTACCAAATCAACTGTTGAAAATTATTTCCTTCATTCTATTTTCTAGAGACAAACACATAGCTTGATTATGTACGTGTTACAGCCATAAATTGCAAAACTAAATCACTGTCAACAAAATAAAAGGAGCAGGTCTTCAAGAATAATATATAGAATGATAAAGAAGAAATAAACTAGTATGGACGAAGAACTACCATTGTGACCAAACCTGAAAAGAAATGGATAGATAGTTAATTGTAATATGAGAAGTGTATGACTACCCAAAACAAGCTTTAGTAATATTACCTAAAACATATGCTAGAACCAATTTGAAGTTGACTGAGAGATGAAATGGAGAGGATGAATGATCTCCTTCAGTTGGGAGCATCAAAGCAACACAACATAGTACACCAACAGCCACTGCCACATAATTGGGTGCTACTGCTCGCCCTGAAATTTAAAGAATGAAATTGAAGCCATTTTGTGCAGAGGGTTTGGTGTGGTGCAAATAAATTGACAGATGCTCCATTCTTACCCGATCTTCCATCCCTAACCAGATACTGCTGTTGTTGGGGAGATGAAACTCCTGAAACGATTGGGAGTTGTTGGAAGTTGTCACGATCTCTGTCTGAGGAAGTATCTTGAGCTCCTGGTACAAGTCGAGCTGTCACATCTCTTTTTCCTATAATCTGGGTTGATTTCAAAATAATAAATAAAATATAAAAAGCTAAACGCAAATATAACTAAATGCAGTGCAAGTGATTGATGAATACCTGCTTTGTAGTATGATCCTGCATTTGAATCCGGAACTTGTCAGTAATATTGCAGTTAGATGATGTTGTAGCATTATGTCGCACAACTATGTCAATACAACACCGAGGCTTAATTGATCCTTCGGGATCAACAACATTATATTTGTTAGGTGCAGTGCACATAACTGTTAACATTAAAATCAGTTTAAAAATTCGAACATTGCAAAACATGACAAATAAAACGATTAAAGAGAGAATGACAAACCTTTGAATTTCACAGCAAAATCATAAGGGTTGTATAGCGTTAAAACCTGCTTGTGAGTTGTCTGATCATCTAAATAAAAATTAATTGATTGCGGGAAAACAAAAACGGGAACTTTCTGATCAAATCCAGGTGACGGCTGCATCTTGTAGGCTGCAAAAACGAAAAGAAATATAACTAAGATCAGATAATGTAAGACAAGGCACACCCTCTAACAGAATACAAAGAAAATGCAACAAAATCAAGGATTCTGTAGCAAAATTTTTACTGTCAAAGAAGACTGTTTTTCTATTTCCCTGTTAATCTGAGTTCTACGATACACGAAAATTATGCGCGCGAGAGAAAGGAACCCTGGTGGCCCGGTCCGACATTATTCCGACATAATTCCGACATCTGTTCCGACAGTGTACCGACACGATTTGGACATTTTTCCGACGTCGGAAATATGTCGGATTTATTTCGGATTCGGTCAAATCCCGACTTCCGACATAAGGTGTCGGAAGTCGGAAGGCTGATGTCGGAAGTCGTCTTGGATAGTACAAAAACAATTGTTCTACCCCAACCCCATATACCTGTTACCTTCCCCCTTTCTCTTCTTCACCCCTTCCTTCCTAACTCCTCTACATATTAATGTCACATTTTAATTTCAAATTTACCTTTGGACTTACCCGGACTCGAACCTCAAACCTTTGGTGCGACGTTCCATGTCTTAGACCACTCGGTCACGCAGACATCGCTAAGGGACGTGCGCTCGACTCCTTACTCTATCTCCCTATACAAATCCGACTTCCGACTTCCGAACTTCTCAAAATTCCGACCCATTGACATCTAATTGGCGTCCCACACCTCGGCTGCTCTCCGAGGTCCGACATCCGGGTCGGTCATTCCGACAACCCGCACCTCGGTCGCTTTCCGAAGTCCGACATTCGGATATCCGACATCCGACATCCCACACCTCTGCTAAACTCTCCGACATACACCACTTGTCGGTGGTTTTCCGACCCCCGATGTCGGACATTCGAGGATAACCCGATCTCCGACATTTGACAACCGAGATCCACCTTTCCGACAAGCTACTTGTCGGTGGTTTTCCGACCTCCGATGTCGGACATCCCGATCTCCGACATTCTACAACGTAGATCCGACAACTTTCCGACATTATTCCGATACTTTTTGGAGCTCCGACATACTTCCGACTTTTTCCCGATATCTTTCCGATATATGGTATGTCGGGCCGGGCCACCAGGGGAACCTTCGTGACGCTTCATTTTCGGGGCATTATAGCCCTACGTTAAACCCAACATTTTCAAAATAGAATATATTATTTTCTACACTTAAAGAGACAGTATTTCAAACGCAAGTCAAGAGTTTGCTTTTACCTGAATCCCTAATCTGTTTCGAAATGACAAAGAAATCTTGAACTTTATCAGCTAAAGCCAGTCTTGGTACGTCCACCAGTATCAACACATTAACACGTCACAATCGACGAAAGAAAAATAACACATTTAAGATGGAACATATAAGTAAAAAGTTCATAAGGAAGGGTCTTCTTCGTAAAACCCTACTACAGCTACGAACAGGTTTTCACTGGGATATTTGTATCGCTTTTGGTAATTTCTCTATCTCAATTTCTCAATACAGTGCTTCTGCTGCTACAACGACAACAAAAGAATAACATCATCAACAACAACAACAACATTTCTCTTATCCACAAAAAAATATCAGTGCTCAACGCACTTTCCTAAAACTGACTTAGAAAGATACTGGAGGGCTTAAAGTAAAAATTATTGAAAATAGCAATTTTGTGATGTCCGAAATAAGCTATATCGCAAGGATCGCCTTTCTTCCCGGGAGAAACCTTTCCACCTAACCGTGAAGTGTTCTCGTCGTCTGCTTCTGTAAGTCTCTTTTGGTCATACAACAATAATTTAATTAAAAACCCTAAAAAAACATATTTAAAAGCACGCCTTTTTATAAATCTTGTTATTGTTAAGTTGACAATTATGTTAAATTCTACAGCTTTCTATCACTTTTATAATGTGTATTTCAGGTTTGCTTCTAGTTATTCCCAGCACTCTGATGTTTGAATTCCGTAACATGAGTAACAAGTATTTTTAATTAAATGGAACAGCATCAGCGATATTCTGGGGAACATCATTATACAGCAGTCTCAACAGATAATTATTTACAACCAGCGTGGTTATGTGTACCACAGATAAAAGTTGAAGATGATCTTGGTGCTTACCATTGCCAGACATCATACATGAACAACGAAATCCATACTGTAAATTCAAGGGCTGGATTCATTGAAAGTCCTTTGGAATGCAACACGCCTTATAGTAAAGAACTAACATCAATGACTGATTCATGTACTAATTTCTGCAATAACCAAAAAATGTTGAGTACTTCTTCAAGCAATGGTTACACTGAAGAGACTATCATACCTGTAGCGCATGGATCAACTCAAGGAACAACTAGTCACAATACATGTCTCAACCAAGAAAGTGGAAATTCTCTGTTCTTGACCTCTAATGATGAGCAGGAAAAGAGGAGCAAGTCACACAGCTCTATATTATGGAGTAATGTGCCCAGAGAAAGTGAACAGGTGCAGAATTCCCTCTACCAAAGGGTGAAGCAACGATTTGATGCTGATACCAATGAAGTAAAGGACAAAAAATTGGATGTTAGGACTGTAGACTGTGATGAATATGACTCAAGGCAAGCTTTCGATCTGACTTGTAGAAACAAAACCATTTCAGAAGAAGAATGTACCACAAACAATAATTCCTACATCAGTGATGACCAAGTAATGGGAAATCCAGCACAGACAAGATGTGCACCGAAGCCTCAAACATGTAAAATTTGTGGGAAAGTTCTTTCTTCTCCCTCCTCTTATTATGTGCATATGAAGCTTCATTCAGGCAACAAGCCATATGCATGCACTATCTGTGAAGCTTCCTTCTGCCGCAAGCCATATTTAGAGGTTCATATGAGAACTCACACTGGTGAACGTCCATTTGAATGTGGCACATGCAATAAGCGTTTCACACAGAAGAGTAGTCTTAATACTCACAAACGAGTTCACACTGGGGAAAGACCTTATTCCTGTGATATCTGTCACAAAACATTTGCTGTCAAAAGCTATGTAACTGCTCATAGGTAGGATAAAAGGAATTGATCTTTAGAAGCAAATAATTAATGCATTTTTGCTCTTATTTAATACAGTTTCTATTTTTAGGTGGAGCCACGTTTCAGAGAAACCACTTGGATGTCAACGATGTGCTTTAACTTTTACATCTAAAACCCTCTTTGCTCTTCACATTAGAACACACATTGATCAGAATCACGAATGCCACATTTGTGGAAGAACATTCATGAAAGACTCCTATCTGATTCGGCATCAAAACAAAGTTCACAGAGAATCTAATGTACCATATCCTGAGACAAATAATTCCAGGTAAGAATAGAAACCTTCATATTTTTTGCTTTTGTTTTTACCAAACTTGACACTAGGGAAGCTCAGACAGCTGGTCATCAAAATTAATCTTTGTGTTTCAGGTCACCTAGTTCAAGCCCAACGGATGTTGACTCGTAACAGCTCTAAAGCAAGCTTTGCTTGATGATTTGTTAATCCTCCTAATAAGTACATAAACTTAGATGTACGTAGAGTGTTGTTTTTTACATTAGGTAACTTCCCCTTGGTTCAATTGTATTTATTTCTTCAATCTTGTGCTATAATATGACAATTTAAGTCCTTCTACGTTAAATGTTTTTCTCTGATCTCATTTCCTGTGCTATATTCTTGCAAGCTGTATTGAATTTAAATATGTTCTAGTTACAAATGCTATGAAAAAGTGAACTTGAAATAAATTCTAGATGTCTCATCTTTTACCAAAAGTTTATGAATATTGTACAAATTTGGTATTATTGTTGAAGCCGATAGTCATGGAAGGGCTGTTATTTAGGGGCAACAAGCAAGAATGCTTTGAAAAATTGCATGATCATAAGGTTTTATTTTCAAGTCTTAGACTTGCCCGGCTTGACCTGACAGACAGTTCAGACACAACATGGAGTACAATTGGCACAATTGTCTATGACTACAAAATTAACATGAGTAAAAAAAAAAAGAAAATAATAATAAATCACAGAAGCTATCGGTCAAAATACATTTGTTTTGTAAAGTTTTGTGCAGAAAAAATAATAATAGCAATAGGAATGATGTAAAGCCCGCATACTTGTAGGACTACAGTCAATTCTTTGAAAATGGAGAATTAAGGAAAGCTTATCTACAATACACAAAAGATAATGTGCTCATTTCTGAAATTTCTTCCAGTAAGTAATACAGGCTAGTCCTCATGAAAAATGAGCTCTATTAACTGATTCCATGCCCAATTACAAGGTAAAGAACTTAACATGTACCATAGCTTCATTGAGCTATACCTCCTCTATCAAACAATCAGACACAATTAAGAGAATTGAGGTAGTATAAGAAAATGATATTTCCATCAAACTTCTTCCATTTTCTTTTTAAGTGTCTTTTCAAAAACTTTCTTAGCATCACAAAAACCTTGTTTTGTTTTTCCAAATGAATTTGGTCCAGCTGAAGTTGGAGTGTCCCTAGAAATGTGAATTTGAAGCATGATCAATTAAGCAGCTCTAATCAAAAGACATTTCAGAAAAGGATTATGGCTTATTTTCTAATTTACCTGCCAATGTTCCGCATACGCATTCGAGCTTCTGGAGGCATTTCCTCAACTTCATCGTCATCATCTACATTAAATGCTGCAGCTACAGTTCTTGATGGAGCTTTCAGGGATGGTGTTGGTTTGTCAGTGCTTGGTTTCTAGTTTGAGAAAAAAGTTACATGCTTAGTAAGGCATTTTCATTAAGACTATTAAACAGAGAATACAATCTTTACCATTCACCGGTCATATTTACCTGGAGTCCCAACTTCATGGTAACTGTTTTAGATGAGGGTCCATCAGACGGTTTAGGTACATTTGGCTTCTTGGACAAACCAAAGGCAAGTTTAGTTTTCTTGGGTGGAGAACGATCATCCTCCACATCCGAGAGATTTCCATCGCTGTCGCTGGATGAATAACCTAACAGCAAATACTGGACAAGTTGAGACAATGCTACAATTAGGGTACAGCATTTGCAAAGATGGCTTGTTCAGATACACTACATTAAGATATTGGGGAAATGGACAGGGCATGGCCCTGAGCCAGTGAAACAAACAAGAGTAGCAAAAAATGAACATGGGAATCTAGACAGAAATGTCCAAGTGATATTGCCAAACTTAAATATAAGTCAAGCATTTTATTTCAAACATGTGACAAGCCTTCTTCATCTAACCTCGTAAGTAAAATTACCTTTACTCCGTCTGCCATGTCTCTCTCGATCGTATGATGATCGCTTAGACATTTTGACTTATTTTACCTGACGTGCACTTTACACAATGAGTGTCGATACTTCAGCGAAATGTTTCAAGACGTCTGGTGAAAAACTGTAAACAAAGAGTGGAAAGATTTGGAGTAAAACATATAATACATTGTAAGATTAGGGATATGGTATTTTATTTATCTAATGTAGCTAATTTAATGCAACAAATATTTACCGAAGAGATTTATCGAAAGTAAATGGCTCCTTCAGAATGATTTTACGATTTCAAACGGAAAATCGTTAAAAACTACATATCCTCATCCCAGGGAAAATACAACAACCACGACTCTCCTCGACTCGACAACCACCTTGCCTGAAAAGAACCGCAGCGTTGACTACTCGCAGGAGACGTGCATATGTTGTGTAAATAGTCATCTCTCTTATATACACTTATATCTTTCGTTGATTTATCTTTCTTTGATTTTGACTTGTATTAAAAGCATAATATAACACTTTGTTCGGTTCTGGCTGGCGGATTTGTATCTGAGTGTGCAGTGTCAGTGTACAGAGAGTACAAAATAGTCGTAGTGCCTCTAGGCTTCCATGCTTCCATTTTGCCAACATAGAAACCAGCCATCAAGCATTGCTGCTGTCTTGGCTGCCTAACGTTCGGGCGCTCAGTTCAACCTGACGATGCATTCTTCGACTCCGGTCTCCAATGGGCAGCGGTTAGGCAGCGTGCTAAAGACCCATAAATGGTCAGACGGGTTACCATCAAATTAGTCTGTGCTCGCTTGACAATAAACTCGGTCAGTAAAATGAGACATTTTATTTCTTGCTTTCTTGGCACTTTCGGGCATCGATTTAACGAGCATCACATCTCGACCATTGGGGCAATATAGGGGACACAAAAAAACAACATCTTTCTGTGCCTGTCTGAACTTGTGCTATTGAACCGCTTCTGCCGCCCCCATCTCCAACAGGGGAGGGGGGGGGGGTGCTCAGGAACACAGTGAGCGAACGGAGCGCCAAACGCGTCATAAGAGCCATTCGAGCCCGTTCGGTCACAGTAGCCGTTCGTTCACGCGTTCATCACTCGTTCGTTCACCGGCCTGGTGAGCAGCCCCCGTATAGGTGCATTCCAGTCCAGTGAAAATTGCAGTGGTTCTGGATCTGGAGCCCAGACTCCAGACCCCACCGATGGACAAGGTCATTCCACGAAGGTGGGGCTCGGCCCCGGCCCTGTGGGTTCCATTTGGACTCCCCCCCCCCTCCCCCCAATGGTGTGGGGTGTTGCGGAGCGGTGCTCTCCAGGGCGTAACGTCCTACTGCAGCGTACTGGTCTGGTCCCGCCGATAGTCCCTCGCAGGTCCCGCTCCCGCCGCGCCTTTAGCCGCCAGACGCGTGCCAGACGCTGACGCTCCGCCCGGCTCGCGGGTCGCTCAGAGCTCGACCAGGCCAAGCCTTTAGCAGGCCTACCGCGGCAGTCCCCATCACCTGTTGGTCGGGGCCGGTGCTCGTTAGTGGCCTAGTGCCGACACGGAGTGGTGCCGGGCCGAGGTCCGCGTCAGTTCGCGCCGCGCCGATCGCACTCCCCGCCGCGATGACGTTGTTCCTGGCCGTCGTCCTGCACGCCCTGGCCGTGGTGGTGGACGTGTACGCCGTCTACTTCAACGAGACCAAGGTGGCCATTCCCCGGGACATCAGCTTCAGCTTCGGCGGGAACTTGAAGTACCTGACGGTGTGGCACATGGTGAGCATCGCCTGATCGTGTGTGTGTGTGTGTGTGTGTGTGTGTGTGCGTGCGCGCCGTGTTTAGTATGAGTCCCCCGTGGACCTGATCGCACGTTAGCTGATTATAATCAGAATTTACAGTGTAGTCCACAGACAACTTCCTTTATTTTGCACACTTTGCCTTTACCAGATGCATGCGTACGGCCGGGCTGCATACTGACACAGAGCCACAAGGCGCTTGGGCGAGCTACGGTAGGCAAACCCACCCGCACGCCTGCATGCGGTACAGTATAAGCAAAATAAAGGAAGGGGTCTATGGACCACCCTGTAATTCAGATCATCTCTTAAAGCATTCCTGCACTCGTTTTTCGTTATCCTGTACTGAATCCGGACGGGTGGGTATGTTGCCTACTCCTTGTCGGTGCCCCGAGGCACCACACCAAGCGTCGATGGGCAAACAAACGCGCACACCTGCATCCGCGAGGCAAGACACCTGCCTCGTGTCCAAGATGAGCGCCGATTGCAAGCTGCAGTGGCGATCTCATGATTCCGCGGAGAGTTAAGTCGTGTCTTAGCTATCCCTGTACCTCTCTCGCCCAGTGGCGAGAAGAACAAGGTGGCATGAATGCCATCTTCTGGATCCGTCCAGTCGGCCGCTCTCATCTCATCTCCATCCGCCTGCATGAGGTCTCCCGGCAACGCGTCAGCGTCGGCCGCGTCGCCCCCGCCGCTCTCCGCCAATCAGAACCACTTATTGTTGGACGACGGGGGCCGTAGGGGCCGTATTGTTATTGACAGAAGGCGGCCGGGGCGGAGCAGGGCGGAGACCGCCGACCGGCGCGCCGCGGCGTGTGGCGGGTGGCGGCGGCGCCCTACATATTGAGGAGCAATGCAACGCCCCCCGCCCC